CTGCTCCAAGTGACTGAATATTGACCCCTGTTTTTGCCTGTGTCCCTCATCCACTCCAAGTTTCCAGAATTGAAACCAGCAATTCTCCTTTCTGTATTTTAGGAATTCTAAGTTCATTGACTATGATTTTAAAAGGATGTTTAGACAATCTTGATTTGTTATAGCATACCATGTATACAACCTGACTTCAACTCTTGTTTAGGAAAAGGGTAGTATTTTAGATAAAAAGTCCTTTCTAAACTCTTGTTTAGAAAAAGAGCCCTAATGGAGTCAACTTCGAGTACCATGTGGCTTGCAGCCATCCTGGTGACCTCATGAGGATGGGAACATGCCATGTAACTCCACCACCATTTGGTTAAGGTGATCATGTGATGCTCCTCTTCTTACTATTGTATCCCCCTTTTCACTCTAAGGAGGTGTTTTTGTTGTTGTTTTTTGTTTTTCAAGACAGGGTTTCTCTGTGGCTTTGGATGGTGTCCTGGAACTAGCTCTTGTAGACCAGGCTGGTCTCGAACTCACAGAGATTCCTCCTGCCTCTGCTTCCGGGGAGTGCTGGGATTAAAGGCGTGCGCCACCACCTCCCAGCCCAACACCAGGCTTCTAGGATGGTTTGTTTTAAAACACTTGTCTTGAAAAAAATATATATATATGCAAACAACCATTAGCTGTTTGCCCTACATACTATCCTGCCCTGCTTTCTTCTACATATTTTATGTATAATATACAAAACAAATGTCATTGGAGTAGAGTGTATTCTATTTTACGTTCCTTTTCCTATTCACATTTATTTATTTATTTTATGTGTGTATGAGTGTTTTGCCTGCATGTATGTGTGTGCCTGAATCAGGCATCAGCTTCTCAGGCGTTGTGAGTCACCGTTGAGGTTTGTGCTGGAAACTATGCTAGGGGCCTCTGGAAGAGTAGCCAGTGTTCTCAGCCACTGGGCCATCCATCTCTCCAGATCCTGACATTCTTTGGCTAACTTGATATCTTATCACAAATACTTACCCCCAAACACCAAAAGATCTAGCAAAAATCTCCTCAGCACTATCATATTCCATCAGACAATACTAGGTGGTTAGGAATTGGAAATGACATCACCAAGGAAAACTGCAGCCCTGTTTGGTAGCTGTGTCTCCTGACAGAATGCCACTTTGTGGTTAAACATTCTTGAAGCTGCAGTTAGATTGTTCCTGTTCTAACAGAACCATGGAGGCCAGAACACTATCTCAGTTGCCACACAGGTACCATAGCAAAGCGCTGTGTCCTCGGAAGAACCAGACTCCATTATATTGCCTACATTGTAATTTTGACATTCCCCTCCACCATAGATGGGCATTTCTAGAGGATCATCATCAGAAATACCCTAAAACGATAGTCCAGTCAACCATGATTTGGGGAGAAAGAAGGTCATGGATATGCCACTCATGCCATCAATATTGATTAAAACTTGTTTACAATCTACAATGGGGGGACCCCCAGGCTGTGCTCTCCAGCTCCTGAAGCCCACTCCAGTCTCTCGGGAGCAGATCCTTTGTTTCCTATATAAACTTCTGTTTAAGCTTTGTGTCCTGCCACTAAATCCTTTCCCTCAAAAGAAGAACTGAGAAGCCCTGTATAACATTAATCCATCTATGGATTAGTTTATCCATCCCACTAATACCTATCATTTATTCATATTCAGCTTTTCTATTATAAGCAAAAAATGTGGTGAACACATTTAAATATCCATCTCTGTCACACTTTTAAGTTATTGTAAGTGGGAGATTGCTGAGAATGTAATCAACCAGCCTAGGAGGATCAATGCTCGCTATATGTTGTCAAACTGCTGTCCAGAAATGTAGACTATATACCAGGGCATCGCCTGTTTCATCGAGTCTTCCTCAGCACTGAGGGTTATGACTTAAAATCGCTACGATCTTACCTCTTTTGCAGGTGCTTGACTACCTTTGAAATTAACTTAAGTTACTAATCTCCTGTCCTTGGCTCGTTTATCGGATCTCAGGTATTAACACTATTCTTGCTACACTTGACACCTGTTACACTTGATTTTTGAGAAAGCGATGACTTTCAAAGCAGAGTGGCAAAGGACTGGGGTGGATCTGACTAGTCTAGACATGCGCGGGAGGGGTGAGAGGGGTTAAGGACTGAGGTGTTAGCTGACTAGCAAGGCTTTCTGGAGGTTTTGTCTACGGCGGGGATCGAGGTTAGAACGCTGCGGCCCAGCGCTCGGGTCCTGGCGAGGGGCTGGGATGTGGGGCCCCCTCCCATGCACCTACCTGAAGCTTAAGCTCCTGCCCGCGGCGCCTGAGC